TCTTTGACATAACAAGTTAAGCTATATATCTATTTTAAGATTAATTATATGAATCCATTTTCGTCACCACTTTTTAGTGTAGAAGCAAAAAAAGCACTTTACCAGCCTTAGCCCTAGTTGACTTAGCAGTTCTTTCTAAATGACTCTCTCTTCAAAAGAATTACTACTGAAAAAATATATAAAAGATCATTGGGCCTTGTCGGTTCTCTACGTCGAGGTACTACAAAAGAAAAAAAATAGCAAAATCTAATCCAATTTATCGTAATCGATTAGCTAATATGTTGGTTAATCGTATTCTGAAACACGAAAAAAACTCATTGGCTTATCAAATTATGAAGAAAATTTAGAGGCATTCTAACTGCAAGTGGAATAACAATTATTCAGACGATTGCTCTTATTTATCGGAGAGGGGGATAGAGCCCTTTCTACCTTCTATTTAAAAAACTAATGAATGGAGATCTTTTAATCCAAGCTAGCTCGGCAGACATGAATATCTGTGGTCAGAAAATTCATTTTTCTTTGAGGAATGGGTGTACTAGAGAAGGCTTGTGAAGAAGTAGGATCTGTGTCTTCTCGTATTTTCATTCTCATCCTTGAAATCCTGGACTCAGCTTATTCAACAGAATCTCACCAAATGTTGGCGTCCTATGGCCATACTCAATCTCGTCGAAGGGTTCCTTCGACGATTGAATTCCTTGCTCATGACGGAGTCATATTAATGAGTTACACAAGAGTATAGCACATCCATTTCCCTTAGTTGCTGTCCTCGTTGACCTAATGTGAACCCTCTCTCTTCCAGATCCTTGTTTTTATGGGCCAAATCACTTTCCTCGAGAGTTACGATTCATTAAGTTAATATCCGGAAAAGAGATACGATCAACCGCATCAGCTGAAGGAACCTTGGGACAGGTGTTAGATTCTTACAGTTGTTCCTAGGAACTCAGTAACGTGATCAGTAAATCAACAGACATTGAGACTATTCTATAGATCCTTCAGGTACTTCAGCAGATTATTGAGGTCTTTTCTATATCTTTCCTAACCGTATAAATGGTTCGAATGGGAACAAGAAAAAAATTCCATGTTAGAATTTCATATCAAATGTAAAAGAATTTACATCAACATCATCTAAAAGCGCAAGGTTGATTTTTTTTTCTTTTTTCCTAATAAGTAAATTCTGAATTAAGATAAACAGCTTCTTCTTGGGTATGGAAAATCTCCCTTGTTAGTGTGGCGTGGGTTACCTATGATTATGACAGGAAAAACTAGTTTCTGTCAACATACAAAACAAAAGAAGCAATTTATTGGCAAAATTGACAAGTTCATATTCTTGTTACTTGAAAAAAAAAAGGAAGAATGCTCGAAAATGTAAAAAAAAGAGAAGGGAAGTAGCATCACTCACTTGGCCATCAACGACGTCTCCATTTGGTTTCGAAAATCTTCAGAAGTTTCTCAAAGAGAAATTTTCAGAGCTAGTTTGACAAGCTGGCCGCCTCCAAGTTTTCATCGTTGAAAGTGAAATTTCCATCTGGTGATAACAATATCTAACGGAGGTGGACAGAATGCCAAAATAGCTCTGCAATGTTACTCCTGAGAAACCCTAGAGAGAGAGTAGATAGACAGAGACTCAGAGAGAATGATAGATGTGCTAATTTTATGCCGACTTTTTGGAATACAGCAGTGGTTTTCTTTCTAGAAAGAGGACACATGCATGAGCACGCATGCATGTTGTTTGTCCGATCTGTGGGGTTTTGCTGCCTTTTTCTTCTTCTTTCTTTTCTTCATTTACACTTACTTTGTGAAAATAGTCAAGCTTATGTTGACAAATTACGAAAATTAATGCAAATCATATGAGGTCGTCATAAGCAACGTTTGTCACACATTATAATCTCAAATTTAGGTATGGTAATGGAATGGATCAGGGTTCATGGCAATCATACTCGTCCCATTCTGGTTTTCTCACCTTGTCCAACTCTTAATCCCGTTTAAGGCAGGACAGAGCGGGGGTTGGGATTTGGGGTGCCTCTTTCTTGTTTACCGTTCCATTTATTATTTTTTTTTTCATTTTTCGTGTTTTTAGTTGATGAAAGTTATCATTTTTAGTTTATAGAATAGTTCAAGTTCCCTTTAAAAATTATGTTTTTATTTTTTTTTTATTTTTATTATCTGTGCGATGACAAACTTATATTTTGAACAGACTTTAATTGGACAGAGGATCATTTTTCTTGTCCTTGTCCCTATCCCTATCCCCATCCCATCCTGGGGTAATAATCCTCTCTTTATCTCCGTCGTGAATACCTAATTATTATGAGGAATCCACTTTGTTCGAAAGAAACCCTCGAACATCGAATTTATCGATTTTTTTTGCCATTGCTAATCGCCATGTGCAAGTATTTGTACTTACAAGCAATTTTTTGTCAAAGGTCGCACTCCAAAAAGTAAATTCTCTACCATTCCTTAAGTAGTTGTCACTGTATAGAAGACTTATGGATTGTATTCTTTTCGGAATTTTTGGACCATGACATTAATATCTTGGTTTCAGTATTTGTATATTTTTCTAAATTCCTCGAGGTACAACAATGATAAGCGAAGTTCAAAGTACAATCTTCTGAAGCACGAAAGCAAATTAAACCTATTGTAGCTTTGTTTGACCCTATGATTCTTATTGCTGTATATTGTTCCTTTTGACTTTTGCTGCAAAAGAAGAGTGCAAATTGGATTGCCATTGTCTACCACTAACCATGTAATTACATTATTACATAGTCAATTCACATCCCACTTCAATTAACCTTAAAGGAGGACGAAAAAGTCAAAAATATGTCACTAATTTTTGTCAAATTTCAGAAAAGTAAAAGGTTTTTTAAAATAAGCAACTCTTACATCAGTAAAAAAATAAGTTGGCACGAAAGTTTGCACCATTTTGGGTCAAACTGTGCAAAGTCATATTTGT